AAATTTTAACTCTTTATTTATTAAAATAAAAAAAATAATCCTTATTTTATACTAATTATTAACTTTGTTAATTGAAAATAGATTTTTATCAATTAATAATCAATTAATAGTTAATTAACAGAATTAATGAATTTTATAAAAATTTTTTTAATTTCAGCCCTTCACTTTATTGAATTTGAAGGTTTTAACCCTTCATATTAAATTATAATATTTTAATCCTTCACCTTATTAGATTTATAAATTTTAACTCTTCATTTATTAAAATAAAAAAAATAATCCTTATTTTATACTAATTATTAACTTTGTTAATTGAAAATAGATTTTTATCAATTAACAATCAATTAATAATTAATTAACAAAATTAATGAAATATTATAAAATTAGTTATGTTAACTCTGTTAACTAAAAGAAGGTTTTTAACAACTAATAGTTAATTAACAATCAATTAATATAATTAATAGTTAATTAATGAAACTAACAAAATGTTACAAAATGAATGTTATTTTCTTTAATTTTAATAGGTGAGAGATTAAAAATATCATAATATAAAGTGGGGTTAAAACTTATTAATTTAATAAGATAAAAAATCAAAAATATTATAATATAAAATAAAAAATTAAAATTTTTAAATTTAATAAAATGAGAAGTTAAAAATAAACTTTTTACTGATTCACTCACTCACTGACGTAACCGTGTGCGTCATCTGCCTTAGAAACCGACAAAATGGAAATCTCTTCCTACTTTTCAAATTTTGAGGATGTGACAAAAAATTGGGTCGCGGGGTTGTACTTACGATTTAACCCAATGCCGACTCGTATTAACCCACGTGTTAGGCTTGAAATTGTAAGAAAAGAACAATAGTCAACTAAAGTAAAAATTGGTTTTACAATTATCTTTTACGGTGGGACAATGACTCCGGGTCCATCTTGCCCCACAATCCGGCCCCGCCTTCCCTATAGAAATACCCCCTGCCTCTTCCCCATCCCCAGCCCCACCCCACTTCACCTCTCCCCCTCCCCCCAACTTCAATGGCAGACTCCTTCATGAATAAACTCTACAGCCAGAGCCAACCTTCTGCCTCCAAACCCAC